GTCCCACACCAGGCCCAATGCACACACACTGCTCCTGCTACTGTTAAAATATTATTAAATTAAAAACAGAGTATGGATTTGATGTATGAATTAAAAAATTCAATACTGCAAAATATTTTTTTTAACTCAAAGGAAAATCTCAAGGAACGCACACTGAGTCTACACCAGGGGTGCCCAACCAGTCGCTCGCGGGCGACTGGTCGCCCGCCAGCTGATTCCTAGGTGCCCGTGCAGCGCAATCTTGCTGCGGAGCCTCTAGTGCCAGCTTTGAGCGTTGCATCCCGGAGTGGCTGGTCTTGTTTGAAAGTTGAATGAAGTCCCTGCGACGTTCCCCCGCGGAGATATAAGCGAAAAACCTCCAAAATTACGCACCGTCGGGCCTCCCGCCAAGGTGGTTTTAGCCCCCTCCCGGGCTAGGAGCGTCGGATACCGGCTTGGATGGTCGGGTTTTAAAGCCCTGGCTCTCCCCTACAAGGAGAAAGTTGAGTGGAGTCCCTGCGACGGTCTCCCGCGGAGAAATAAGCGAAAAACCTCCAAAATTACGCACTCTCTGACCTCCGCCGGGGGTGGTTTTAGCCTCCCTCCCCGGGCTAGGAGCATCGGATCCCAGAGTGGCTGGTTAGGTTTTAAAGCTCTGGTTCTGCCCTATAAGCTGATACTTGAATAGAGTCTCTGTGACGTTGCCCCGTGGAGCTATAAGCAAATTACGCACGACTTAGTGCATTTTATGCACATTTTTGGGAAGAAATTTCAACATTCGTTTGCTTCTCCRGCGGGATCTGAGCATTGGATCCCGGAAAGTGAGATGCCTTTGGAAAGCTGTGGTCCTCCTCTACAAACTGGAAGTGGTTGCAAGTTCCTGGGATGTTCCCCTGCGGAGTTATTAACCAACGACTGGCCGAAAAAGGCGCTTTGGTGGGCGATGTACTCGGTTTACTCCGGAGCCTCTAGCGCCGGTTCTGAGCGTCGGATCCGGGCGGGACATGGCTCATATTAATGTTCCGGATCTTCGCTACAATCTGGAGGTGGTTGCAAGTTACTGGGACGTTCCCACGCAGAGATATAAGTGATAAAATGTAGTCGGGCGAGCTCCGGCTGGTGAAATGGCTGACTTCCAGCACGGGGCTGCTTGTGCTGATGCAGGGGAATAAAAGGAAGAGATCCAGTGAGGTGGAACCATGGTCCTGCATTCAGTACCCGCTCTCCCACCTGGATTCAGCCAGAAACCCCCTGGTGGCTGATATTTCTGCAAAAATGCATAAAATTAAGAAACCCATCTGATGGATCACTTCCAGGCAATAAAAGGAACAGATTTGGTCAGGTGAAACTAGTCCTGGAAGCTCAGCACTGGGTTTTATAACAGCCTGCACCCTGAACGACTGGTGGGCGATATTTCTGCAATAATGCATAAAATTCAGAAACCCATCTGATGGATCTGTTCCAGGCAATAAAAGGAACAGATCTGATCAGGTGAAACCGGTCCTGGAAGCTCGTCACTGGGTTTTATAGCCGCCTGCGAGAGAATTTCATATTGTATGCTTTGATTTTGGGGGGAAAAAAAGGGGCGGCACTCTTGTGGTAGCCATGTTGACACTGATAGATTTTTTTTGTTGTTTTTCCTCCCCTGTATGGAGAGAAGAGAGGAGAGTTCTTTGAATAAATGGAGACGAGTTCRCGTGCTCCAAAGTTATTTGACTCTGTGGTTCTCAGTCTGCAGGTTTTCAGCCCTCATAGCTCACACGTTACAGGGAGTACTAATGGAAGGAGGTAAAAAAAATTGATCCTTTCTGTTCAACCATCACTTTTCTGTTTCTCTGTCAGGAGTTAAGTAAGGATTTTTATCTCTTCTTTTTTTGTAGGTAAATATATGGTTAAGTAGATAGTTTTGTTTGACAATACTTTAAATTAGCAACACATTACGTTCTGTTTTATTTACTTTAAAGAAGTGAAGAGTAGGGAGACCATATGTTTTTTTGATACTGAGACCGTACGAGTAGCTCTCGACAAACTGCCGACTTCAAAAGTAACTCTTGGTTCAAAAAGGTTGGGCACCCCTGTTGTACACCCATACATCTGTAGGCACCAGTGATTCTGAAGACTAAACTCATGCTCTGCTGTGACTCTGTTGGAATAACAAGCGCCACTTCAGCCAAGGTTTTAAAATCAGAAAACAATTCTCCATTCGAAGTGATCAGAAGTCAGCAAAACTTTATTTCCAAGTCCCACAAGCTGTCGCTTTAGCAGGAGGAAATGCCGCAGCATGCGCTCTTGCTGCACTGGTTCAGCTGCGCCTTACAGATGTGCTCCTGAGCCTCCTGTCCTCAACTCTTCACTGCGCTGTCAGCTCCTGGAGATGCATTCAGTATGGTGTCTAGATCTGAGATGATGATCAGAGGGGAATCATTTATTTTAGATTACAGTAAATAAGACACCTCCGTGTTGTGTAGATACTCCGTCCGTAAAGCTGAAAATGTCTTTGTGGGTGTGATGCCACAGAGCTTGCCGTCTTTTGAAGCCGCGTTGATTTTTTTTAATCTTCACCACACTTGGCTTATTTATTATGCCTTCCAGACTTAGGTCAGGGGTCTTAATTGCAATCTGTCAAAAATGATGGACAGCCCACATTTTTTCCGTCACAGTGGGGGAAAAAATGGTCAAATATGGAAAATACTATGTTAACGCGACCTCTGGTACAGTGGGGAGATCAAGTATTTGATACACTGTTGATTTTTCAGGTTTTCCCACTTGCAAAGCTTGTAGATGACTGTAATTTGTATCATAGGTACTCTTCAACTGTGAGTGATGGAATCTAAAACAAAAATCCAGAAAAATACAATGTATGATTTTTAAATAATTA